AAATCAATAACAAACTTATATTATATAATTAAAAAAATTATATATAAAACTTATATATTAACTAATAAAATAATATTTTTAATTTAAATAATTTATTTTTTATCCGCGCCCGTCTAGATATTTATTAAAACTCAAGTTATTCCCTCTACTCAACGCTGTATTAAATGTGAAGGAATAACAACATCATCGCCAAGAAAACGGCACACCTATATACCATTTAGTAGCTATATACCAATAATACCATCTCCAAGAAACATTCACTACCATACATTATAATGGCACACTTTATAAAAATTAGTACCATTTAGCATACATCTAAAAAATTAGTAGCTACCAAGGACGGAGCCAAGGGGGGACCTACGGGTGCCACGGCCCCCCCAACAATTTTAATTTTTTTTTATATACATATATATTACTATATGGCACCCTCTATTTTTAATATAAACTCATATTTTTAATATAAACTCATATGTATATTACTATATGGCACCCCCTATATGGCACCCCCAGTATTGAAATCCTGGCTCCGTCCCTGGTAGCTACAACAGGGAACCATTTATTAATAATAATACTATTGTACTTTAAATGATTATTGAAAAGATGGGAAGACCAACATCATTCCTCACTTCATTTTCTGCCACATCTCTAGTGTGAGCAGATATGTGTTCAATTAACATGCTAGCATTGTCTTTAAAATTTATGCTGTTAATGTACCCAAAACATACCTTTGAACTTCACTAATTTTATCATAAAATTAATTCTAAAAATACTTAGAATTTCCTATACGAAGAAATGCGATGAGTAAAGTTTTTCTTGGCCTTGGGTTTAGGATGGTCCATCTGTTGAGAAAATAAATAAATGATATGGATGACCAAGAAACATATAAACCAACTTGTTTCCTTCTTTAAGTTGAGGTTTTTGGTTTTTACTTGTCAACCAAACCTTGTCTTGATATATATACATCTGATTATCCCAACCAACTAGTTGCCTTTGTTGATCTCTTTCCATTCCCATTAGCATGAAGGTGGCAAAGTTGTTGGTTGTGGTCACTCTGGCTCTGCTCTTAGCCACCACTTTCTCAGCAGATCCTGACCTTCTTCAAGACCTCTGTGTTGCCGACTTTGCCTCCGGTACTACATCACTCTACTCACTTCTTCCCTTCTAATTCTATTCACTATATGCATATGCCATTTTCATTCATCATGCATCCAACAACACCAACTGCATGTTTATATATGTTTCGTTTTTAGTTTCCAGGCTTCCTAAACTACGTTCAAAAAGTTAATCTAAAACCACACATGAATAGTTTCTTTGTTTTTTGTTTTCTAAAACAACCTTAGCATAGTCCATAACTCTTGCATATTTGGTAAGTGCAATTGTGCAGGGTAGAGACTTTTCATTCCAAATACAATGATAACAGTGTGATAGAAAACAGGTGTGAACGTGAATGGATTCACATGCAAAGAGGCATCCAAGGTAAATGTCACGGATTTCTTCTCCAACATACTAGCTAAACCAGGAGGCACCCCCAACACCTATGGCTTATCAGTGACAGGAGCCAACGTTGAGAAAGTGGCAGGACTCAACACCCTTGGTGTGTCTCTCGCAAGGATAGACTTTGCCCCTGGTGGCCTCAACCCACCTCACACACACCCACGTGCCACTGAGATAGTGTTTGTGCTTCAAGGTCAACTAGAAGTGGGGTTCATCACCACAGCCAATGAGCTTATGTCAATGATCATCAACGAGGGTGACATATTTGTGTTCCCAAAAGGGTTGGTTCACTTCCAAAACAACAATGCTAATGTTGCTGCTGCTGTCATTTCAGCCTTCAATAGCCAACTTCCAGGGACACAGTCCATAGCTACCACCTTGTTTGCTGCCACGCCATCTGTTCCAGACCATGTCTTGACCAAGACCTTCCAGGTTGGGACCAACGAGGTTCAGGAAATCAAGTCTAGGTTTCCAGTTCCACCTAAGAATTGAAAACACCAAGGTGCTTGTTTCTTTGTCTTGTCAACCATAAATTAGTATGTCGGATAAATGTCAAAATACTCTTCTTAACAATTTTTTTAATACTTCTTTTTTTATTAATAAAAATTTATTACAAATCACAAAATTTGTCTGACTTCTTATTTCACAAGTCTTTCTTATTTAGTAATAAGACTTATAAAAATGTGTGATTTTTAATTAATAATAAAATATTTAAAAGAGTGTTAGTTACATTTTTCAGCATGATTATGTTGTTACGATCAATATTTAAGTAACATTTTTTAAACTTTTTTTCATAAATCGAAAAATATATAGTTATATGTCACGTAAAGATGGATCAAGAATTGATACTAAGACTATGTGATCTTGTAATAATTTCTACTTGTGAAGTACATTTACCCTCTCTTTTAATCTTTTGTTACTTTACAATTCATGGTAGGAACAACTCATATCATGAAGGAGAAGAATGAAAGCAGTGGGGAAGGAATATTCATTTGTTTAATAATTTACATTTGAAAGATGATTGCACGTTTGGTAACTAAATTATCCGTTGTTGATTCGTTATTTCTGGCTTGTTAGTTATTCTTTTTTGATGGAATAGTGTAAGTTACTCCACACCAAGCTCTCACTTTTTTTTTTTTTCTTTTTCTTTTTCTTTCCTATTTACTTTTAAATTACTGAAGCTTCCTTGTACCTACCAGAGCCACTAAATTCAATGTCTCAACGTGTAGGAATTAATGAGGATGGTGCCTAACTTTTTAATGCGTAAGCAAATATAATCATGGAAATAAATAAAGGCATATTCTAGAGTATGGATAGAAGGAAGAAAAAGAAAAAAGAAACTAATAGATATGACAAATAATGTGATAAAAAAAATGAAGAGAAAATGAGTAAAACAATTCTGTAACCATGACTCCACTCAGCTTCAGTCAGTTAGGTAAATGGATCCCACCAGGACTAGTTGATCTACGGTACTTATTTATACCCATCAATACATCTAAATTAATTTCTTTAGTCATGTATTTATTATTTAAAACATTCATTTTAAAATAATTATTGTTTGAAAAATTTTAACTGTTTAAATTATGCATAGCTTTGAAAGAAACTAATTTTTAATTTTTCCACATTTTTATTAAATAAAAAGTTAAACACAATAGGTCCTAAAGTTCTAAATAAATTTAAGGTTTAATTACATTTTTATCTCTCAAAAATTACAATTCTGTGATTTAAGTCATCAAGATTTTAATTGAGCAATTTTAGTTTATCAAACATCATAATTTTTTGATTTTAACTTCTCAAATTTTAATTAAGTAATTTAGTCATTCAAGTATTACAACTAAACAATTTTATTCTCTTAAATATCGCATTTATTTATTTAAGTTACACATATTAATAATAATAAATATATATTATATAATACATAAATGAAAATTATAGTATGTGTAAATTAAATAGGTTAAAATTATATAATTGCGATATTTTTTTAAGCAATATAATTGCAATATTTGAACAATTAAAATCATTCAAATACAATACTTAAAATACTAAAATTATTTAATTAAAATTTGAAATCAAAATTACAAAATCATAATCCTTGAGAAACCAAAATTGTTCACACACACCCACACACTAACTCCATCAATTTTTTGAGAAATTTTAATAAAATTCCTAAACTAAAAAAAATTACAATTAAATTTTAATATATTTATAATTACTATACTTAGATATATAAAATTAGCAAAATTGTCACATTATTTTTCTGACAATTCCAAATCACAAAGGACCTAATTACAAAAATTATGAATAAAAAGTAATTACATTGTTTTACGATTAGATACTTAATTAAAAATCTCCAATAATTTAGAGAGATATTATATTATACCTAAATAAAATTTTAAAAAATTAATAAAATACTAATTTAAATATAAAAAAAAATATGAAAAATGCCTTTTTTATCCTCACTAGTAGAGAAGTTAATAGAAAAAAAAATTAAACAACAGTTAATTTTGATGGAATGAAAAGTTACTTGAAGAAGGAGAAGATTATTAGAAAGTAATTTATAAAAATAAAAATATTTTAAAAATGTATACATGAAAATAGTGTATTACTTTGAAATATTATTATAGATGTAAAGCAACATAAGATAATTATTTTACAAACCAATATTTCTTATTTTACAGCTGCAAATAGAGTACCACAGACACAGGATTAGCAACACCGAAATCTAAAGATAAGATTGGGAGGCAGATCTTGGAAAGAAAGAAACAGTATATTAAAACTTTTCTTGTCTTGCAAATAACATAATAAATTAACATAAACTAAATGACTTAAATTAAAATACATTTTTCATCTAGTAAAGAGAAAATAAAGTTAAAAAAGAACTTTTGAAAGTAAAAATTAAAAATTCTCTCTATTCATTTCCTCTTCAATTCAAATTTAAACTTTTTAATCTTTCCTCTCAAAAAGAGAGGATAACATACTTGATTACTTGGATAAAAATACGGTTACTATTGATGATTCACTATCGCGTTAACCCAAGGATTTCCGTGTAAGCAAACATAAAATCATTAGTACTTTCGTATAGACTATTGCAACTTGTCCCAAAAACCAAAGAAGACTTCTCCAAATGCTAGTAAAGAATCCAATTATAATGGTTTGCTTATAAACAGAATACAATGTGATGGTAAACATAAATAGTTCCACAAACATGTTATCCCTATTACCAACAGTGCGGAGTGTGAATGTGAGTTATGCTCCAAACAGTTGTATGATAAAAAAAAGATTACTTCAATTCAATCATGTCTGCTGCCTGCCATCAGGGATTGCAAATAGCACGATTGGTTGTGAAAACCGAACGAAGGGTACATCACACCTGAAATATCCCTTTCTCTCCAGTTGCAATATATCTCCACGCTGAAGATTTCGCATGTTGGAGTCCCCATATGCTGAAATCTCCTTTTTGGTACATGGGTTAACCACGTCAATGAAATCCTCCCCTTCTTCAAGCTGCAACCAAACCAAGAGTAACATAATGTATTTATGACACATTTATTGGGTGTTGTGACAGTGATTGCATGTAAAGTTGGGTCAGTGCTAAACCAACTACTGATTTGAGTTTCACAAGCAAGCAAGCAAGGTTGAAGTTTTCATAGAAAAAGAGATGAAAGGAGCATCGAACTAAGGATTTGTTAAGTAAGCATGATAATGATGACATATCAAACTGATAAATTCTTGTTAAGTTTATCATTTTATTGCAAGCTGCACAAGTGCCCACAAAATACCTGATCGTATAGACAAATATCCACTTTGATAAAAGTGTTATTTTTTCCTCAAGGGAGTAGTAATCACGTATCCTGTGTTTTGGAATCCATTTGAAATGTTATAGGCAGATGTTCAAACATTCCAAAGCAATAAGTTGAGAAGTAAAATATTGTAGCTTTTCCGTTCAATGGCCATTTGCCCAATTCAAACGGTTAACCAAACACACACTACGCAGTAGCAGCTATGAATGGTGATGGTAGTGTATAGCAGTATAGGTCCATCTGGTGGTGGTGATGAGAGGAGGGGGGAAGGGGGAATCATGTTTAATTTTATCCTATCAAATTTTAACCTAACCCGGGTTAAGAGTAACAAGGAAGACACAATAAAAAGTATCATCTGGATATTATTCTGTACATGCACCACAAATTTTACAAGGCCAAATAAGATAGCTTATCCTATACTGTCAATTTTTAGCCAACGTGGCAAACAGGCCTGAGTGCTCTAGAAAATTGAAAATGACCGTAGCCTAAGACACAGGATACAGCAAATCACATAAAAAGTGTCTTTCATAGGGCACTTTTTAGAAGTAACGTCGCAGCCAAATGTTCATAGATTCATCTGATAAACAGTGAAAAGCAACATGTAAACAATGTGACATTTTTGTAATTAAAACTTCAAAAGTAAAAACAACAATAACAACAAAAGCCATTGGGTTCGATTAAAATTAAAAGCAGAAAAAAAAATAATAACATAAAACATTTTCTCCAAACCAAACAGCACCACCATATATTTTCCTTAGAAATAACAGAGGGTGAACACATACCTTTTTCTTTGTAATTAGATAATCAAACTCCACCAATGTCAGGCTAACTAGTTCATTTATGTTAGGTAGCCAAGTGAGTTTCAATTTTGTGGTCTTCACAGATCCTTCAAGATGCAAAACACCACACAACCCCGTGATATTTCCATCTTGGTCCTTCACTATTTCCTTCACTATGGCATTTCCCCAATCCATCAACGTTACTTCCTCACCGGCTGATATAGACTCTGCATCAGCATGGTCAATCCATATGCTTTTAGTATATGATGTAGCTTTAACTCCAGCAGCTTCATATTTCTTGTGCCGAGGTATGATGCGGACAAATAGTTTCTCAGGACCATCAGTGAGGGTCAACAACACACGTCTATCTGCGATGACAGCAGTGTGTCTGGGACAGACAGGGTCAATAATCTTCTTATTAATAGTCCAAAGCTTGTCCCATTCCATGAGATTGAGATTTTTAGATGCCCCCTGTACCAGTATCAGATAAGAGTAATCATCATTCTCTAGCACAGAAAAAATTAAAAGCACAACCATTGATAAACACATTCTACTTATCATTTCCAATATGTTAGAGTGTATTTTTTTTCTTTTCTTTTTAAATAAATAAAAGAAAAACTTTTTACGTACTTGCTCAACAATAAACTGTATCAGCGCTTCAATTTTCAAACCTCTACGCACGATTCCTTGTACTGTAGGAAATCGTGCATCATCCCATCCATCAACTTTTCCATTTTGTACAAACCATAGAAGCTTCCGTTTGCTGAGAAGAGTGTAAACCATATTCAACCGGCTGAATTCATAGATGAGAACTTTTCTAACACCCATGTCCTCTTGAATCCGGTAATACTGAGCATTGCGATCATGGTATTCACTCGACCGAAGGGCATGTGTGATTCCTTCTCTAGCATCAACATATGGACAGGCAAAATCATAAGTTGGATACACTTTATACTTGGACCCAATTCTATGATGAGGCATTGGATTGCAACGATAATAAACAGGATCTCGAAGTGATTTGTTTGGGTCCTGCATATCCAACTTGCCACGAACACAACACTGCAAGCCCCTCTCTGTTCCTGCAATCATTTCCTTCCATAATTTTATATTCTCCTCTACACTATTATTTCTGCATTTAGATTCTATGCCATCCATTCTCTCCTTTTGCATTTGTTCACGTGGAGTGTCATCAACATATGCTTTACCCTGGTGAATTAATTTTTCAGCCAGTTCCATTAACTCAGGGAAGTAATCTGATGTATATGTAATTTGTTCATACTTGATACCCAATGTTTCAATATCTTTCACCAAGTTGTCGACAAATTCATTGCTTTCTTTAGCAGGATTGGTATCATCAAAACGCACGATAACCTGGCCCTGGTACCGCTCAGCAAAATATTTATTCAACAGTGCTGCTTTTGAGTGTCCAATATGAAGATAGCCACTTGGTTCAGGTGCAAATCGCAAGCGAACTTTTCCAACTTCAGCATCTGGAAGATCTATTTCTGCTGAAGGTTTGCTTCCTCCTTTGTTGTTCCCGGATACGTGCCCATCCACATTTTTCACTTTATCAGTGATTACTGACTGGTCTTTTGACTTGGTCACCGTTGGCTCTCCCAATCCTTTTTTGCCAACATATGCTGATGTGACTTCATTTAGGGCAGTACCATGTTCTGTCACTATTGAATTGAACCACCGTGCAAGATTTGGATATTTCTTTGACTTCCTTAGACTTTCCCATCTCTTCCCAGAACCTGCAAAAGCATATCACACAGAATATATTTGAATTGTGGGTGATAATAATGGACAACAAGGTACACAGAATAAAGGCCAATAAACCTATAGGCCATTGGCTGCCAAACTAACATTATAAAAATAGAGAAACAGAAGATAGAGTATTTTTTTTTGCACACACTGCCATAGCATATATAAAACTATCAACCATGATAGAGTCTTTTCGTCCAAAAAAAACATAAGAAAGCTACACAGTTAACCCAGTGGGTCCTGCATAGATTGATAAACCTAGTTTGTTGACATGGATACAATAAAGCAATAACCCCAAAGTGCAATCAAAAACAATGATTTACTCTTCCATAGACAAGCTGTGCAAAAGTGACCTAGCAGTACCATGATACAGGTTGAATAGAAATCATTAAAAAAAAAAAACTTTACCTGCAAGACCTGCCCAGATTGCAAGGTCTGCAATTGACAATGAATAACCAACCAAAAATGTACGCTTCTCCAGGTACTCATCTATATATTTGCACCCATTCTCAAAAGCAGGGCCCGATGAGAGGATAGTAGCATACTCCAGCCATTCATCAGCCTAAAAGAGCAGAAGGGAAATGAGGAAAACAGATGATATAGTGAGTTCACAACTAGAAGCAAAGGGCAACGCATGAAAGAACTATTAGGAAAACAGTTCAAATATTATTCTTCAGCAGCATTCTATATTTGTCATGAAAAATATTCAACCTTTCATTTACACTAAACATCTTGGAGGACTCTACGCATTATGATACTATGTTACATTAGGAAAATGACCTGGCTAGATTCAAATGCATTTTGCCCATAGAAATTGGCAGCTCGCCCAATATAACGTAGAAGAACATGTGCCCCGTGCAACTCTAGCCTGCAAAGTAAATGCATTGATCAACTAATCATAGATAGTAGACATGGTTGTCCTGCTTATTGGGGAATTTGGAACTAACAATCACATAAAACCCTTTTTTCCCTTTAATTTATAGAATGTCGGTAATCCATTTGAAAGGGTAGCCATACGGAAATGAAATTTATATAATAAATATAAAACTTAAAATCCACATCACATTACATCAAAAACATAAAATATTTTCTGGATGATTCCCAAAATGTCGATCCTGCATATACGGGGAGCTTAAAAAATCATTTTTTTGACAAAATAATTGGCAGTCAACTAGTATCAAAAATGAGTTTGGACGCACGCATGCACTTGGATGTCGCTAACTTTTGGTTTATTTTGAATCATTTAACCAGTTTTGCTAGTTGTTAGACTAAGAAATGAACTTTGGGAGGCGAAAAGATGAAGACTTTGGACTAATAAACAAATAAAAAGGGGATCGGACACGTACCCATCAGAGAAGATAAATGTGGGAGATGAGTCAGGGGGGAGAGAGGTATCAATGGAGGGAGAGATGCCGGCGAGCTTGGCGGTGGCGATTACCGGTAACGGAGGAGAAGATGCGGCGAAAGCAAAGGTTTGGATATCCATGCTATGCTAAATTAACACCCAAGACACGGCACACAATTTTGAACAGGAAGCTACTTGGGTGGTTGGAGGCAGAGTGAAAAAGAAGGGGCATTAGGGTTTCAGGGATAACTTGGTAAAAAAAAGAAAAATAGAAAGAAAAAAAAAACCCTTTTATACTATTTTTTTTCGTTTACTTTCTCATGAACGATTTGTTCTCAGAACGACCAGGGGCGGAATCTTTTATGATAGGGGGAGCCATGCCCAAACATTTTCCGAAATTAAGTATTCGTATTATATATATTGTTAATCATTTATATATTGTTAGTGTAAAGTTTTTTATACTAGTAATTAATTATATCTTTTAAATTATTTTATATTATTTTTATTTTATTAAATAAGTAAATGATATGATATTATTAAAATATATAATTAGTTGTTAATGTAAAAAAAATTATATTAATAATGTACAAGTGATTAACTCTTTTATATATAAATATAATGACATCAAAACATTTTGTAATGTAATTACATGTTTATGTATATTATGTCAGTCATGTTGAGAGGAATGAAAAAGAAAAGAGATAAAAATGTGAAACGAAATAAGTGAGTAAAATTTTTGAAAAGTAATTCAATCTTAATAAAAATGAAGATTGGTTAAATGTTTGGTATTTCTTTTATAATATGTATGTAATGCACTTACATGTTTTTATATGTATTTTATTAGTAAGATTAAGATCTATCGTACTTTTATATATTTTATTTAAATAAAAAAAAATGGAAGAAAAAATAGATGAAAAGGTGAAATGAAATAACTGAGCGAAAGTTTTGAATAAATCAGTCTTAATGAAAATGCGGATCAAAAAATAGTTCAAGAATTTGTATTTTTTTTTATAATATGTATGTATAGATACATTAGAGGGAAAAAGACATTTCATATCTTTCAAAAAAATTTAAAGTAAAAATAAATAAAATAGATAATAAAATAAGTAGTTAATTAGAGAATGTGAAAATTTTGAAGAGTGAATTTTAGGAAGGAGAGAAGATGGAGAATAAAAATTAAATAGAAATTTTGATAATAATGGTGTAAAAGTGGTCTTTATTTTTAACATACATTAATTAGCTTCTAGCAATGGTGGTTGCAATTGTCAATAAAGATGAAGGAGTCAATAAATGTTATTATGAAAGCAAACTTCTAACCCCAAGTGTGTAGTTCAGCGGTAGGGGTTGATTCACGCTTAAGCAAGGTCAAGAGTTTGAATCCTGCCTTATGTATGCAACCGCGTTAAATGTTGGGGCCAGCTATCCCACCCTTTGAAGTGCCTCCAACGTAGCGAAGAGATTAGTCACTGCTATCGGCGGTGGATACTCCAGGGACGAACAAAAAAAAAATAAAAACAAACTTCTGATAAGTCATTATAAAGGAAGATGATCTGCATATTGATTTCGTCCTCACCGATGACATTGAGGATAAGAGTTGTTGGAATAGTGTCAGAAATAATTTGCAAATTGATAAATTTTGATGGACAAATTTTCCCAATCCAAGGAAATCTATTTTAATATTCTATTGGAAAAACTCATAATTCTCCTAGGGTTAATGGAAAAGTCATGTTTAATTAAGTCATTGTAGTCACAATTGTGGACCAAAGGAAAAACCATGTCCAAAACTTGTGTTTTCATTTGGAGGTAAACCCATTTTGAGAAAGATTTTTACATCAAACAATTCACATTAGATTATCTACAAACAACATCATTTGAGGTTGAAACCCACTTGCATCGCTTATCAAAGCAACATCACCAACTTCTTTTTATTCATGTCTATCATAGGAAAATGTTTTGTGCACAACAACAAATAAAAGAGTTAATTATAATTTTATTTATTTTTAAATAAAATATCAAATAATTTATTAAAAAATTAGTGCTATGTAGCATGGTTGACCAGTGAACCATATGAGTATGTTCTCCATTATAGAATTCGCCAAGAATCATGTAATCTTTAGTAAAATAATGTTATGTAACTTGTTTAATTATGATAGTTATATTTATGTTTGCTTTTATATTCCTTAAATTTTGGCATTGTTGTATAAATATGTCATGTGTTAGTTCATCTCCAATAAATTTTTTTAACAACGTTCTTAAAAATACGAACCAACTTTTATTAATTTTATGTTAACATGCATAACTTAATATAAAGACACTTTATTGTTTCCAATTAAATAAAAAAATGAGTTTCATAAAGTAATTAAAAACTTAAGTTACATCTTTTTCATTGGAAAAAAAAATTCAAATGTGAGTTTCATAAAGTGAATTATGTTTTATAATTGCAAAACTTAATTTCACAAAAAGTTGTTTTTCAATAAACGTAAAGGGGAGTTTCATACTCGCTATCGTCTTTGTTTAATTATAGGCAATAAAACTCCATTTCTCGTATGATTATTTGTTAAAATTACAACATCTAACAAATTTGCAAAACATTCACACTAGAGTCCTATTGTATATGCTAATTTTAGGGTTTATGTTTCACAACATTAAGAGTACACAATTTTTTAACCTTTAAAATATGCGATGACAAACCATCGGACATTGAAGTACAAATATTTTTGTTGATATAATTTGTGTTTATTTCTTTAAACCTCATCAAATAACAATAAATTATGTATTTCTCTTGAAAACTTATTAATAATTATATCATTAGGCTTTTGAACATCGAGTATTAGTATGATCTTATATTTCATATAAGTTGCATTACACATGACATTTTAAGAAGAAAAATATATCCATAATAAGTTTGTATATTTAACTTCACCCTTACAATGTTGCAATTTGGTGAATTTTTTTTACCATGTCATCACATAGGTTGAATACCATCTCTAATACTTGTGAGCTATTTAGCAAAATTATGATATTGTAATGATTACATGATTTGTAGCAAATATAAGACTTAGATAATAGATCATAAATGAGATTTAATTACAATGTACAAATATTTGTAACTTAGTATAATTTTAAAAAATAAGAAGTACCTGACAAAAACTTTTCATCAATATCACGACTTTCTCTCAAATGGAGTATTATAGAATTAGGGTAAATGAAAATATTATAATAACTTATTTATATATGATTAATATATTTTTGTTTATTCATTATTTAAATTATTTTTTTAGCATGTGTAATATACATGGTAAATATTTACTTTATACAACTAAAAGTAAATTATAATAAACAAATAATTATTAAAAGTTATAATAAATAAATAATTTTAAATATATAAATTACACTATAATTAAATTTTACAATAAAAAATATTTGTGTATATGTTAATTATTTATATTTACAGTAAAAATATTTTTATTTATTGATATATTTTTTTAAAAATTCAATATAAATCTAAAAATATAAAAGATAAATTTAAAGAAATGATAAGGTTGAGAAAAATACCTAAAATCTCTATTATCGAAGAAAATCAACTAAGAATGTTCGTGCTGAAAAATAATCTTTAAACGTTTATGATAATTATATATGTGTGTACGAGGAGGATTATATTACGTGCGTGTTTGGTTTGGATTATTAAACTCAAGTTTTCCTTTTTTTACTACGTCCGATTCTAAATTTACAGAGAAGTAACTATTTTCTACTTCAGTCTAAACGTGAAAAATCACGTCTCACAACTGATACAAACACGCTATACATATATCGAGTTATAACTTTTTTTATATAACTATTATATTATGAGAGTATTTTTATATATTTTTAACAACTCATTTAATTTAATATATTATTTAATTTTATTTTTATATTAAATTTCAATATTTATAAATTTACAAATAATTTTGTTAATGTTTTAATAATTTTATATCATAGTAAAAATTATTTACCAAAAATTTAAAATATAACTAATATGATTTTTTTACTTATTATGAAATTTAATTAAAATATAATTTATAAATTTAACATATTAATTTATTATGAAATTTAATTATATAAAATAAATATTTATCGTATAGATCCCAAGTTAAAATACTAATTTACAATAAATAAATAGAATAATGTAGTATAATTTCGTAAAATTATAAAAGTCTTTTTGATCAGAAATCACGAGTTTTGTGAAAGTGAATAAGTTGGGGTTTTGGTTACTTACACCGTCTTCTCTGCCGCGCGAGCCACCTAGGGTTTCTAACATCACTGTAACAGAAACCATGGCGACTGTGGTGCCAACCTCCGAAGAAGACGCTGCACTCTCCGTCGTTCGATTCGCCTCCGAACTTGCCTGGGCCGATGCCGGTCCTGAGGTCATTTTCTTCTTCTTCTTTCTTATCTCTATGTCTCTGCCCCCAAACCTTTTTTCTTAGTTATAATTGTGTGCGGTTCGGTTACTTTGCTTATTTGTTGGTTTCGCTACATTCACAATGCGCCGTGTATCATCTGAGTTGAAATGCTTGTGGAAATTAAAATTGAATATGAATTTGTAAAACTCGGTGACTCTAGATAGAATATTCAAGTTTTGGTCTGTTCGTGAGAACTCGTTGTGTGTCGTCTTTTTTTCTTCTAGAAGTTTTCGAGATTCATGTCGATGTTCAGAAAATGTAAGGGAGGGAATGATATATATTAGTCAGATTCGTTTCGTAGGTTGTATGGAAGAGAGGGTGGATGCGAGAGATGTTGATTAAAAACACTGGGAATAGTATTTTTCGTGTGTGTATTTTTAGGGTTTATTGGTGCTAGATTATTTCTTCTACTGCTGCTCCTTACACCCTTGCATCTTGTTATATTTGAGCGAATTGTTGTTTTCTTGTTTTAATTTGGTGTTTGTAAGTTGTATTATTCATGAATTTGGTGCTTCCCATCTTGGTTTGTCAGGTTGCTGAGCCGCAAGTTAGCAGACTCTGCATGGAGGCAGAAGAGTTCATTGTTATGGGAAAGTGGTTGGAGCTAGCATCATTGATGATTACCTCTGCTGAATTGATTTTCTCAAAGGTTTCCGAAAAAGGTAGAATGCTATTTTTTTCTTCTTCTTGATCTCAGTTATATACTGCTTTTGGTGTTGTATTCCTTTTGCATTTTGACCTAGCTCCAATTTCATTGATGAAGAACGTGAATTCTATTTCATCGTGCAATCAGCTGTGCTGGATCCTTTACCAACTCTGCTAGTTTGGTTGGTTATGGCATTGTTGACTGTGATATTCTTTCAGCCCTTTTTGTTGATTATGCTTCATTTGTGGCTTCCTTCTTGACTGTTGCATTTCCCACGTTCTTGTTTAGAATCCAACTTGGTGTTGCATCGAGAACTTCTCAGGGTACTAGGATGTGCCATTAATGTTACCAGCTGAATGTTAGTGTGCTAACAAGTTCTGTTATTTCTTATACCAGATATAGAGTCTGTCTTCACTATCATCTGTAATCTTGTTACAAAGACTGAGAATCCAGATGAAGTGATGGAGATTGTAAAAGTTATAACTGCAAAATTACTTCAGCAGCCAAATGAAAAGCCTGCTGCCCGATTGAAAATGTAATATCACGTGCTATTTCGATTAAAAATTCTGGTAATGCCTGCTATTGTGACTATTTATATTATTGATTATTGATGTTAAAATATCTTCTCTTTTCTTTACAGTTTGATCAATCTATACAATCTTTTGGAGACTCCATACTGCCAGTTTTATGTATACATGAAGGTACTGAATTTAGCTGTTGATGGGAAAGTCACAGAATACATTATACCTTCGTTCAAAAAGATTGATAACTTCTTGAAAGACTGGAAGATTGGGATACCAGAACAGAGAGAACTCTTTCTTGCTATCTCTAATATTTTGAAGGAAAATAAAAGGTATAGCAAAAGTAAATTCTTGTCAGCATCAATTTTATGTATGTTCCCTTTACCTCTTTTGAGAGTGGGCGAACACCTTAAATTTCTTCCCATTTGCACTTCCCCCTTGAGACTACAATCTTCTATCCATCTTTCAATTTCATTCTTTTAATACCAAAACAGTAATTAGTATTGCATCTCATTTTATCGCAGCATGTCAAAGGATGCTTTTAAGTTCCTGACCAGTTATCTGTCAACTTTTATCGGAGAAGATGCACAAGTTTTGAGTGAAGCCAAAGAGGAGGCTGCCCGGGCAATTGTGGAATTTGTGAGGGCACCTGACATATTTCAGGTACTTTATCGAATTCTAATTACAATGTTTGAAAGATTGCATGATTTTACAGTTTCAGCTTGGTACATTGTTCAATTATTTTAGGAGTTATTGTTGTCAATAGTAAAATCCTCACCTGTTATTTTGATTGCCTCCTTTGCTTTGACAGTGCTTGACTTTCTGGTCTGTCTATCTGTGTGTATATTAGTCATAAAAGTATGAAACAGTTAATCATGGCAATTTATTGCATAGTACTAAAACCCATAAGGTGATAGGGATGCTTTCTTGTTCTCACTGGTCATCTCTATTTATAAATTAAAACTTGTCTTTTGGTTTTCTAATATCTCCTTCTCGTTATAAATTTTACTCTTAGATATCTAAGTTCACTACGTTTGATGCCATTTTTGGCTTAGATTGCTGTAAATTCTGAAAAATCATTCACTATGTTGATTGTCATGTTGTAGTGTGATTTACTAGACTTGCCTGCTGTTGGACAACTAGAGAAGGATGCCAAATATGGTCTGTTATATCAGCTTCTTAAGATTTTTCTTACCCAGAGGCTGGATGCATACCTAGACTATCATGCTGCAAACTCCACCTTGTTGAAAAGTTATGGTAAACACTGTTCCTGAATGATATCATTTATCAATAGTTGCATATACACTGCTCTGTTCTAGTATATGTTACTATAAAAATGTTATGGTGTTTTTAGGCCTTGTGCATGAAGAATGCATTGCCAAAATGAGGCTGATGTCCTTGGTGGATCTTAGCTCTGATGGATCTGGCCAAATTCCATATGAACTTATTAAGGACACACTTCGGGTAAATTTGTGTTCGATTTCTATGCTTTTGTTTGTGTTCTTTCTAGCGTAATTGAAATTTTGTAACGTTGCTTCCAGATCAATGATGATGAGGTGGAACTATGGGTGGTTAGAGCAATAACTGCCAAGTTAATTGACTGTAAGATGGATCAAATGAATCAAGTAGTAGTTGTTAGGTATGTTCTGACTCAATATGTCATCCCTCTGCACCCTACTGTCTTTCTTACTCTGGGCATATGGACATGAACCTGTTGACCATAACTATTTTTTTCAGCAACATATACCCGTGTGTTAAAAATTCATTTATCTGTTGTACCTGATTTAATGCAAGTATTAATTGTGCAGTCATCCTACCGATCGTGTGTTTGGTCAGCACCAGTGGCAAGAACTTCGAACAAAGCTAGTGACATGGAGGGTAAAGAATTTCTTGTCTACAATTTTCAGAATTACAATTACATACGTCTCAATGCATAACAATGTTTATATTAGTCCTACTTTTATACAGCCATACACTTAATATGAGCTGAATTCATTAAATTTAATTTTAAAGTAAAAGAACTACTTCAGTTATTTTTTGCTAATAAGAATTTCAACCAATAACTGCCTTGAATTTATGGCCTTTAATATCATGATCAATATTTGATTTTGAAATTTCAAAAGCCTGTCTATTTTGAATTAAGCTCCATATTGAATGCTTTATGTGTTGGGTATGTAATAGATTATGTTGGGAGAGAAATACCTATCTTGTGTGAGTTCATGGTTCTTGATGGAGATTAGTTACTATTGGTTTATCAATACCATGGTTACCAAAAAATAAAATATTGAATACTTTAAGACTGTTTTATAAATAAGAATATTACTATTGGTAGGGAATACAATTTAAATTGTTATTTCCTAAAAGTTTTTTTGTTGTCATGTTTGCTTCTGCTTATCTAGTTTTTCACAATAGATCGTTATTATGCCATTCTTTCTTAAGGATGGTGGTGCACTTTTACGATGAAATGTCATTGCTTCAACCCTAGTAACAGGTTTTTGATTTGGTACGATTTTTAATTTCTTGTTTCCTATTTCTAGGGAAATATTGCGAATGTTATCAGTACCATTCAGGCCAACAAAATAACGGAGGATGGGTCCCAGGCAGCCCAAGGTTTGGTAATTCGGTGAGGACGTTTTTTGACTGGAGTAATTATCTGAAGTATTTAGATTTTATCAAGGTGGAATTTTTGAATCTGAATCAGAGGAAAAGATTGTAATTTGTTTTATTACAATTTTGACAGAGAAGCCATTTTAATTGAACTTTTTCCATTTGTATGTTATGTTGACCTGCCTTACAACTGCGTTGAGTATAATATACTTGTGGACTGTGGTCTTAGAAATCAATATACTGCTTTTTTGAAGTTGTGTTACTAAAGAACTGTGCGGTAGGTAAGGTCATGGATCTTTTACCGTGTTAGTTTTATAGGTATAGCATCGTAGCTAGCGTGAGTCGAATGTGTGCTCTTGGCTTCTCATCAGTTGAGTTTAAAATACCTTTTTTGCTGAATAGCTCTTGCGAAGATGGTACATTTTTGCTGTTTGAATATGTGCAGTACAAAAATAAAGATTGACTTATTCTTAAGATTACGCACAACATAAGAGAAGTTGCGTCGTGTTATCAATAATTTTGGGTGAAATGTTGGACATTTTACATACATTATAAATAAAATTATAATAATGTATATAAGTGAGGGTGCGTTGAAGATGTTCCTTCTTTGGTGTAAGAAGGATGTGTTGAATATTTCGCATTGATTATGAATAACATCATAATAATATATAAGTGAAGATAAATTTTTACTTTATAAGTCAATTTTGTAATATTGAATTAGGTTTTTAATCTATTTTTTTTAAAATAAAAAACATAGAATCAAGTTATCTCAGCAAAATCTTAGTGATATCATGAAAAATTAGAAGTAAATATTTGTTATGGGGTGGAACCGTTGCTATAAACATGCATTTGGTTCTGATTGACATGATGTCATGTATTTTGTGGTGTTAAGCCTCACTTTCCTCAATAAATATTGTAATATGAAGTTTATTGATATAATAGAATATTAAGTGCAAAATATGTCAATTTTGGAGGAGTCAAGAAACCAACACTAGTTCAGATGAACTTTGAGTAAAATTTCATATAAAGTTGAACTAGTGTCAAGGTATTTGTTTAATTTTGTTGTCATTATTATACACAAAATAATCGTATGTTGAATCTTGAGTAAACTAAAATATTCCAAGTTTAACAAATAGCTTTTCAATAATTAAGACGTAAATATGGGCACTTACTTTCATTTACCGACAAAAATATACGTTCTAAATCAAAGTGGATCAATTTAAAGTATATAAAGATCAAATACGATTTTATAACCTTCTTCTCATATATGTGGGTTTGAACTCCCTATGCCATTTTCATTCCAGTGGGGCTAGTAAATAGTATTCTTCTAGTTGGGGTCTTGCTGCTAACCCCAACTTAACTCGCAATGCAATTGCGTGGTATTAGTCATCAAACAAATAAAAATGAATGTGATGCCAATCGGGGTTGACTAGTCAAATTATTAAAATTGAAATAAAATTAAAATTTACTCAACTATTTTAATTAATTTTGATAAATTAAATATTTTTTTTATATATATAAAAGGAGAGGTAAATCGGGCGGCCCAATGACATGAAAAGTTTTGTCGAGTGGAGTGATGGTCGGAATCTTCGAGAAGGATTCTAAAGAGGAGTAAGTGAAGGAGTTAGGAGTGAGAGGGTAGAAGAGGTGAGCGGTGTGAGAAGTGAGAAGAGAATGGCTTTGTGTGGCAGAGGCACAATCACAGCAATACGTCGCGCTTTAATCTTCCAAAACACATTTTCCCCACCCATTTCCCTTGATCGCCATTTCTGTTCCACCAAGAACAAGAAGCCCCTCGACACGAAGCTCAACTTCTCCCTCTCTTCCGATTCCGACGATGACCAAGACAGCAACACCCACATGACGAAGAGGCCATTACCACCCCCTTACGACCCCTTCAGCAAGAAGCCCGCAATTCAAGAGCCCAAGGACCCTAAGGACCTGCAGGAGATTTTCCACAACATGAGGAACGGCGACGGGCTGTTCAACCACGCAGTTAAGATGTTCGACGCATTGTCAAAAGAGGGTCTGACCCACGAGGCCTTGGAGCTCTTGGGCCAGATCAAGGACAAGGGCCACATGCCCGACGTGGTGGCCCACACCGCCATCCTGGAGGCCTACGCCGACGCCGCCCAGCCCAAGGAGGCTCTGAAGGTCTACATGCGCATGCTCGCTTGTGGGGTCTCCCCCAACGCTTACACCTACGCTGTTCTCGTTAAGGGGCTTGCTTCGGATGGAAAGTACGCGAAGGAGGCGAGCAAGTACATGTTGGAAATGATGGATAAGGGGATGAGGCCCAACGCCGAGACTTATACCTCCCTGTTTGAGAGGTTGGTGAGGGAGGAGAGGCTGCACGAGGCTGCACGCTTGCTGGAACAGATGAAGGAAAAGGGGTTTGTTCCCGACCACAAGGCTGTGCATCAGGCTCTCTCCGCTAAAAGAGGGCCTGTCTTTAGAATTCTTATCAACCTTCTTTTTGGCAGCTAGTCTAACCTCTGTTTTTCTTCACTACCAAATATTATTCAGATTGCATGTCTTTGCTTTTAATTTTAATACACGTGGTATTTCTTCATTTCCATCTCCATCCATGCTCAATACTGAATTTTAATACTGAATTCTAAGCTAGATAAAAAATGGCTCATTCAACTTGATAAATACAAGCATTAGCAACTTTACAATAAATTTAACTGTGTGCCGACTATCTTACTGTGACTGAACTGCCACTTCAGAAATAAATACTAGTACTCGGCTATAACGTTATTAACCTTTTCATCTGCTATTAAATGTATTTTTCCAACTTCATCAAGAGTAAACATCAGAAAGGAACGAGCCAGTGACGGATCTTGCAGAAAAAAAAAATCTTCTACAAGTATCTGAATCTCGAGTCAGTTGCAATGCAATTCATTCCTACAACACCAGGGTTTTAGTTGAGTAACAAGATAACACGCCTAAAAACAGCAATTATATATAAGATCAACTTCAACACGGTTGTCAATGGTAGTGACCTGTGTGTTTTAACAAATTTGGATCTGAAATATATTATGTTGGAAGAGAAATAATCACTTTATATGCATTTATAGTGGTTGATAAAGATTAATCAAAATGGTGAATATTTTATATAAATAGGAAAATTAAAACATACTTCTTTATAAGGTAAATCTATCTTATACATAAATTAAAAATATAATTTTGAAGAAATTAATAACTTTTTTTAAAAAAAAAATTAGTTTATATATAAGTTTATTATAAGAGTATTTTATTTTATTTTTTATTTTTCTCCTCCAAAAGTACTTTGGGCGAAATTTATCTGAACAACACAAAATTAAAATCTAATTAATTTGGAAACCAACCCTGTCTAACATTTATTGTAAACCAACTTCAACTTAAAAACTAATCAAATAAGGACCAGTTTCTCAAAATATTAACTGACTAGCAAACACAAATATCAAAAACCAAACATACCAAGTTATCTAGTTTTAACACCTAATTAAACTGAATGATGTTATATAATTTAATAACTAAGTTGCAATTATCATTCTGCGCGGGCAATATTTAAGACTTTTTCTCTTAAAACATTTTCTATTGAAAATATAAGACTCAATGTGTTCAATACTTGTCCATGACTGATAAGAGACCGACATGATGGAGGTCCAGAGAACTCGCTCAGCTGGAGCAGCTGCAAGGGCACTTGCTCCTTGTTGTTCAACTAGTTTTTGTGCGGTATTAGGTCTATATCATCAAATTTTGAATCAATCATCATCTGTTTTCACTTATATAAAAATTATAAAATATTAAATTTGAATTTAGAAGAATTATAAATATAGTATAAATTGTAAGAAAAATATATTTTATAAAATACAATTAAATTTCAAATTTAAAAGAATTAAGTAGTTTTAAACTACATGATTCTTAATTAGTTTCTATAAGACATATGATCAAATCTAATTAATTATTTCTTATAAGTTGACAAATTTAAGGTTGTGTTCAGATAATTTTTTTTTATAAATTTAAAGAATTTAAATTTTTTTTGAATCTCAATTCCTATCATTCATTAAATGCATTTCATTTTGTAATTGTTATGACCATAAACACTTGATAAATAAGGTCTTGATTCCATCCTCCACCTAGACCAACACTAGTAGTTTTTAAAAAAGAGATTAGTTATGCATAAATAAGGTCACTTTACACTAATAATATCATTAAAATAAATTTATTGACTTTTATAATTATTAGTTTGAAAGATATGTTCATATAGATTTTTTTAATATGTAAATAATGCAAAAATTCTTTTTTAAATGTCATAATCTTATTTTGGATAAAATCGAATTTGACATTTTATATTTTTTATACATACTAGTATTAGAATGAGATAAATGATACATATCATAATCTTATTATAAATCTTTAAAAATACTAGTGATTAACTTTAACCCTTAATTAAGTCGTGTCTAATCTTAATATGAATTTTTCATGTAACAATTTTTTTTTATGGAGTTTAACTTTCATTGTGTAAATAAAAAAAAACTTTTTAGATATTTATTTTAAAAAATAATAAATTTATCTTACATTAATTTATGATTAAAATGACGCGGTAAACTTCTTGATAGTGCATATATTATTTTTTTTCATTTTTTAAACGTGACATTAAATTGGTGAAAAAAAAGTGACATTAAATTAACAATTTATGGCATTTAAAGGTATTAATAATTAAATAACACGAGTTTTTTTAGTGGTAATTAAATTAATTAAACACAGTGAGTACGAAAGAAGAAAAAAATGGGAAGACAGAGAGAGAGAATAGAGGAGAAATAATAAAGTAAATTTTCAAAAAAGGAAATGAGAAAAGCAATCTAATATTTAAAGCATGAAAATATGTGGAATCTGTTTTGGCAATTGGCAGGCACCGTTGTGAACTGAGAATAGAAAGAGAGAAAAGGAAAGCAAGATTTAGCGATTAGCGTGTCATCGCCACTGTCGATTCCGATTCCTTCATAGCCGCCACCGCTGCATGCACCTCTCCTTTCCCAGATCTACTCCTTTTCAACCCTAACCCTAACAAATACAATCATTCCGTCTAGGGTTCGCTTCACCAATTCGTTTCTTCCCTGACATGAATTCGGCTCCGTTGGCCCATTTTCGCTGACGGAATTTCGAAATGGTTCCACTCTTGCTGTACATCATCGCTTTCTTCTGCACCTGCGGAGCTATTGCCTTGGCCTTGCTGCACATTTACAGGCACCTCCTTAATTACACCGAACCCACCTATCAACGCTTCATTGTTCGGATCGTTTTTATGGTCCCGGTTAGTCATAATTCCTGATGCCTTTTTTCTCATTCTAATTTTAACGGAATATCAATTTATAATTTCGCTTTAACCTTTATTTTGTTGCCTTATTATTATTTTTCTTAATTGCAGAAACTACCCTAGTACCTTAAGTGATCAAACGACACCCAATCCAAGTTTAAATATCAATTTAAATGCGCATTTTCATTCATGTCTGACAAGGATTCTTAAAATCAGGGTTTTTATGTTAATGTGATCTTGTTCCGTTTTCTAACAGGTTTATGCGTTGATGTCATTCTTGTCCCTTGTTCTACCAGAGTGTTCAATCTATTTTAATTCAATCCGGGAAATGTGAGTTATTCTCTGTTTCTCTACTTATTGTGGCTGTTGCTATATTAAATTTTAATATTTTATTAGTTTCTTTTTATTTGTTTGTGTATTGTGGTTTACATGTGTACTTCTCTGTTTTTGTTCGAATGATTTGGGAGAGATTCCCTACATTCTTGTCCCTTGTTCTACCAGAGTGTTCAATCTATTTTAATTCAATCCGGGAAATGTGAGTTATTCTCTGTTTCTCTACTTATTGTGGCTGTTGCTATATTAAATTTTAATATTTTATTAGTTTCTTTTTATTTGTTTGTGTATTGTGGTTTACATGTGTACTTCTCTGTTTTTGTTCGAATGATTTGGGAGAGAGATAACTTGTATCTAATTATGGCTGAACTGTATAGGTGTATGAACTGCATGCAATTATTCTGCTCGAGTCTTTCCTTAATGAATAGTCTGAAGTAGTCATAGGCAAAGTTGCCAATCACACGGGGTGGTGGACTGGCCACCCCCTACATTTGAGTATGTCGTTACGGAGCACCTCACTGTAGCGCATCATGTTGCCATTCACAGCTGAAATTGTGATCAAATGTGGGTTTTGCATCCTTGCATTTGGGTTGCTGAAAGTAAAAATGTCCCTGAAACCAGTGTCGTTTCAGTTTTTTTTTTTTTTTTTTGAAGTAAAATCTTGAAACTTTTTTTTCCCTGTTTTTTTTTTTTTATATGAAGTGGATGTCATTCTGTCCAGAAACCCCTTGAAATTGCATCTAGAACTTACTGCTTTGGTATCTTACTCCGGATGAAATCTAATTCCAAGGATAGAATTTTATGTCTTGTCATTTTAAAGATTGGTTTAACCATTGTAAATGTCTGATCAGGTAGCCAGTAAACAGTGGTTGAGAGTAGTATTCTTCTTCTCATATTCTGTTGATTATGTGACTGAGGTGGCAAAGGAGAGTGTTGCAGCAGCAACACTGTTTACATATACAGTTTCAATACTGAATGCCACTTCCTTTGTCTTATGATTTGACTATCTTACATTTTTAGTGCCTCTGTAAACTTTAAGTCACTAATCCTTATTGTTATTTGTCTAAAAAATGAATGATTTTTATAACCTATTTTATCAACTAGGATCACTGTGATTATTAACATTCTCTTGGCTGCCTTTTCAGCTATGAAGCTTGGGTTATTTATAATTTCTTATCGCTGTGTCTCGAATGGGTTGGTGGTCCTGGAGCAGTGGTCCTAAGTTTAAGCGGACGGATTCTGAAGCCATCATTGTTTCTAATGACTTGTTGCTTACCTCCTCTAGCGCTTGATGGGTGAGTTTTAAAAAAATTTAACTCATACTTTTGTACTACAAGTTACTGTGCTTGAAATGTTGTTTAATATTCCTTGAAAACTAATCCTTACAATTTTCCATGGAATTGATGTTTTATCTAACTTTTGTAAGTGGGACTATGTAGGTATTGCTATTTGAAAAACTGCTTATTTGACAGATTTTTGCAATATCTAAATCTTGGGAGTCCCAGGGGAACAAAAAATATGATTCAAACATGTAATATGACAGCTTGATTATTATATCATAGTTGGTGATGGTCTCTCATTCTTGAACTTTTTTTGCAGACGTTTCATACGTAAATGCAAGCAAGGGTGTTTGCAGTTTGTGATTTTGAAGCCCATTTTAGTCGTTGTTACACTTATACTTTATGCGAAGGGGAAATATAAGGATGGGAATTTCAGTCCAAAGCAATCATACTTGTATCTTACAATCATCTATACGTTCTCGTACACAATGGCTCTCTATGCTCTTGCCTTGTTTTATGTGGCATGCAAGGATCTGCTTCAACCATTCAATCCAGTTCCGAAGTTTATTATAATAAAATCTGTTGTATTCCTAACTTATTGGCAGGTACTTTTCGCGCCTCTTTCTTTGTATGGTTTGTTCTTTCCTGTTATTTACTCTAATTGTTGCGTTGTGTAATCTTTTTCTCAAAACACATTATTTAAAACACCTACCAACTGCATTTACTTCCCCCCCCCCCAAAAAAAAAGAAGCTATTTGCATAGTTCAGAATTGATAATAATAATAATGAAATAAAAACACAATGACACCTGTATCTGTGTAATGCTAAGATGTCAGTTTGCTACATTGCGATGATTATTTTTGAGCTGTATTACAGTTTGCTATATTCTACAATTTGAAATTGATTTACTGTTAATTTTACACCGTATTTCTGCTAGAGGTTTGAAGCTGGACAACTTTTTGTTTCTGATATATTAGGGTGTCTTGGTATTCCTTGCTGCAAAGTCGGAATTAGTCAAGGATGCAGATGAAGCTGCTCTACTTCAAGATTTTTTTATTTGCGTTGAGATGCTACTTGCTGCTGTTGGCCACTTCTATGCATTTCCATACAAGGAATATGCCGGGGCTAACATTGGTGTATCCCGTGGGTTTTCAGCTAGCCTTGCTCATGCTTTGAAGTTAAATGACTTTTACCATGATACCGTCCACCAGGCCAGTCTCACTTTTAATATTCTAAAAGTTTTAGTTTACCATCATAATTCTACGCCTCTGGCTCAATGCATGACTTAGCAGTTAGCAACCATCACATGTTGCAACTATAGTTCCATGGAGTTTTCTGTATGATTCTGACTCTTTTTGCTTTTTTAATCTCTGCTGACAGTTTGATATTTCTTGTGGCAGTTTGCACCAACATACCATGATTATGTTCTCTACAACCATGGTGAAGGTGAAGAGGGAACTAGGAAGTATAGGTCACGGACTTTTGTTCCAATTGGCCCAGAGATGGAGAACGTGAGAAGAAACAAGCATTTGTTTGGAAACAAGGTGGATGACATACAGCTCTCAAGTTTTTCCTCTAGCAGTAGCACTCCCTCAAATTCTGGCCCCATCTCTGATATTTCACATTCTGGTGGTATGAAATCTTCCTTACTCGTGGATGTGTCAAATTCTTTATCTGTGCCATACGATATGACACTTATCGACTTGGATTCATCCAATTATCCTGAAAAAGTCCCAGCAGCTGATAAAGTTGGTACTAGGTAATCAAGAGGAACATTCAGAGCCAATTTAGTGGGAAAATTGTCATTTTTGAAGAGAGAAGAGAGTATTAGGGGCATTCCTACATCTTTTCTCTTCTAGGAGAGAATTATGAGCGGAGTGTGGTTTGTTTGATTCCATGAATGCGTGTAAGCTGGTCTGGCGCTAATATCCGTGTCAATGTTGCTTAAAAGCCCTATCTCTCCCAACCAAACCAATGCTTGATAATTGGTCATCAGTCTTCATGTTGTAATTGTCTTCACTGATTGTGTATCGTGTGCACGTCGTAGATACAGAAATGGTTGGCTTCAAACACGGCATATACTGATTACTGAGTGAATTTGGATTAGAGCTAAATTAACTAATTGATCTATGTTCTTTTCTCCTTTGCACCTGGAACTTACCTATCACTGTAAGATTTAATAGAATGACTGCCATCATTTTTACCTTTATAAAATTTGATGTATAGGTTTTTACTCCAAAGTTTCTGGTTCTGGAGTGTCTCGTAACTCTTCCAGATCCATTAAAGCTGAATACTCATGTATCACGTGATCCGATCTTTCATTTTCCAAGGACAAATGTTTATTATTGCCGAGTCAAAGGCCACAAGTAACTGAAACCTTGTACTACGATTTTGCTTAATTTCATATCATGCAAGTTCAATTATCTAAAGACGCACAAATAGTTGCTATCTCATTCTTCATTTGTTTTTCAATCTTATAACTAAAATGTAGTTTCAATCTGTACGCCAAAATAAAAGAAGGTATCATCAATAAACAATACCATGTTTTTAAGATACTTATTTTATTTTTATTATATCCAAATACTTATTTAAACACTAGCTTGCACTTTCATCATTATAGCAATATCATTTTTCAAGCATCTTTTTATATTTGTGAATTCGTCGCCGTAGTCATCAATAGCTTTTGAATATCTGATGCTTCAACTCACAATCAATTATGGTTATCTTCTTCACGTAGCGATCGTGGTCTTGATCATCGTACAAATGGTTTTATATTGTAGTTGGTATTCCGTGGATTCATTCAGGCATTGTCTGCTGTTGTCGCCCATGTCACAACGTTTGGTGGTGATAGTAATTAGTAACTGCTGGTCCTTTTCGCATTTATTGGTTCATGTTTTGGTTTGAACCGCGACAAACACCAACCAAGCTTTCGACCCCACTAGTTCGGGAAATGATGCTCCTCCGTCCCTCCCTCCTTAGAAAGAAATTATTATATAGTCTATAGTTTATCCGATCTTTATATAATATGTATTTAAATTTTTCTTTTCAACTTTTTTTTTAATAATATTTAATTACATATCATATAGAGAGATAAATTAGAAATTATGTATTATTATGTGTTTCAAGACTATTTAATAATTTTTCTTTATTGGATGGCTTGGATCAAACCCTACCAAAACATCCATGGAGCCCACAATAGTAGGAGCAAGTTTGTCTCCACTTACATGGACTCACACTAATGTAATGGAAGTTTGTTACGGATTATTTATGACTCTTATACATACATAACATAAGCAGCCATTACCACAGTTAAGGGCAAAAAGAGCAAGTAAAAAGAGATGGGTCAAACATGTAAGGTCGAACACAAAAAGCACGTGACCCACCATCTATGCAAAAATTATTAGATATTCTACCACTACTGTGTGTATATGAAATAACTTTAAATATATATTTTTCTGTTATACATAAAAGAATGTATATCAGTAATAGTTGTATCACTTTAAAATAAAATTTGACTAAAATTAATTTGGTAAAACGCTCACCAAAAACACGATAAAAGAGAGTTTATCCTGTTGTCCACGTGTTGAAGTGCTTAAAATAATGTGACAGGAGAAGAAAGAAAAAAGAATACGAGTCTTGTGTTTAGACTTTAGCAACCACACCACACGGTGGCTTTGCGAAGAAAGCTAAGTAAAATAAGGGGCGTTGAATTTCTACAGTTGAGAGTTCTTCCCCACTTTCACATACTTGGACAAAACCGTTTCTTCTATATATTAAAATCTCTCTCTCTCTCTCTCTCTGATTCAGAACGGTTGTGAGAATCAAAGTATCAAAAGATGGGTAGTGTGAGTGTGAACCCTTTGTTTAGGAGTGAATCCTTTGGATATTACTACTACTTAAACTACCCTGATCAGAACAACAATAACACCATGTTGGAGAAGAGACAGGTATTCCTGAGAAGCTACCAGTTCTGCAGGAAGAAGAGTCTGACAGAGAGAATCAAAGGGTCTTTGGTTCGTGCCAAGAAGATTGTCTGGCTGAGGCTAAGGTCTGCTTGCAAACTGAGGAAGTTCATCTTCTTTTCAAGGTTCAAATGCGCTTTCTATTACCGCAGGAGAAGGTTCTTCCACCTTCTACACACCAACAACAACCGCAAAACCGAATCTTCCTCGTGTTTATGGTAAATTAAAGAGACACCACAACTCGTCTCACTCATAAACCATCTATTATTCTTTTGTTTCTCTTTTTTTATTATTTGTTAACTAGTTACGGTTTCTCTACGAGTTTGTGATGCCAATTTGGAACTGCTGCTATACATGTTGTTCATCAATGTCAAAAAATTTGGCTTTGCTTCTCTTTCTTTTCCTTGTTGGATCATGTCTCCCTGATGGCGTTTTCAGAAGTAGAGATATATGGAAAACATCAAATCTTGTCCCTCTTAACTTTAGGTTATTTTCTAGATAAAGAGTACAAAAAAGTGAAGGATGGAGATAACTATATGTAATATATAGACTAATTTAATCATATTTAGCATTTCCATGCTCACATATTTTCATTTTTTCACCAAAATTGAAGCGTTTGTTGGGCACTGAAAAAATGGTCAATTCTAAACCGGGATTTCATGCATGTTATTAGAACTAGAAACTTAGTCCCAATATTATAATAATATGTGCACATACTCCAATGAACATTAGCACGTCATGTTCTATGGGAAGTGCTTCAAGATGCTAGGTGCTCTTTGATCCGGCAAAGCTGCAAGAGCTAAGGGTGATGGTTGGGGACCCTTTGTTTGTTAAAGAGAAAAGGTGGGAAGTTCAAAGTTTGAGTTCTCTAGGATGAAACGAAGCACAAAAAAGTGCTTCTAAGTTCCAGGTTTGAAAATTCGATTGGTGAACAGAGGTTATTTGCATTAAAAAGTTGTACCTGTACACCATAATTATATGATTTTTTGGTACAATAGAAAAGTAATAAGACGTGAGAAAAGGCTGTAGAAGCATGTTAGTTTTGTAACTTAATAATTTTCTACTTTCCCAGCTGTGTGGCATGCATTTGCCGTTAAAATGGTCCAATTTAAGTTTCAAGGGTTTTTCATATGATTCAATTGACTTTAAGATTCACGAGGTGACCATCAAATTTATGTATGAAGATGAGGGATAGTGTGAAAAGGGAGAACCATTCAACGAAAAAAGTTACTTAAATTCATATTCACTGTCCAATACAAGGTACACCTTCCAATGAATTTTTCATCTGTCTGACTTATGGCATTGTAAGAAAATTCAAAAAAGTGCTACTTTTTTATTTTATGATACCATTACCAAGTAAAATATTCTTTTCCTTGGCATGGATCACTATTTTATATGAGAAAATAGAAACCAATACATTCTTTTAACACTTTTAAATTTTTTAATATAATAAACATATGAACTTAAAAATAAAAGCTGTTCAATATGAAGAATTAAATTAATTAATAATATATACCAAAAAAGTTCAATAGAAAAAATTATAATTTTTTATACATAACAATTAAAATATACGGTTACTGCTAACTACAAGTTTGTACCCTTTGGGCTTTGGCTTGAATTTATTTAGTTATATATAACATGCTCTGTTCCTTTATCCAACGTCAGTCTGATTAAAAAAATATTTAATCTATTTGTGGTGACGAATGTGGATCCATCCGTGATATAAAAATAGAGAATATAGCAATAAATATTTTGATGTAGAGGCACAGCAAATAACCTTAGCAACAAGTTAAGTTGACAATAGCTAGCATTGAATGAATGAGTTAATGTGATTGTGAATGTGAATGATGCATTTTCTTCCTTAACGGATAAGAATACTGCTACTCCTGGCTGTGGCTGCTTCTACTAGAAGAAATCACCAAAATGAAACCTACTTAAGAGAAAAAAAAAAAAGAAACATTTTTATGTATACGAATAAAACTCTAATGCATCTTCTTAATAAATGCGTTTTTAAATTAACAAATTAATAAATACAACAATTCACTCATCTTACTCAATCAACTATTCAACTGAACTAAAGATACGTTTTATTTTCTTCGGTTTAAAATTAAATTTTTTTTCTTTTCTATTTGTTCTTCTTTTGAAATGCACAAATGGTATGGATGATACAAGACTAGTAAAAGCATACGGGCTAAGGGAAGTGTTTTGGCCCTATGTAGCCCATTGGGTCATTTCAAAATATTATAAAATTAATTTATTGTTCCAATTTCAAGGAAATCAAATTACTAGAATGTGTTAAAAATAAAAGTCAACTTGCAAATTGACCCGCCTTAACATCCGTGGCAAGCAATTGGAACGTGAATTAATTTAAACCCAAATCTTCTGTAATCAAAGTTAATTTTTTGTCTCTTATTGGGCACATAAATCTTTGTGATATTATTTGACCGAGGATGATAAATAAGACAAATTGGATCAGAAAGTATTCATATCATAAAATTCTACTCCTACTCATTTAATAGATAATTTTACTCAATTTATTTGAAATTTAGACCCAATTAGGGTCCTTGATCGAGTGAGACAATGAATGACATTTGATAAGTACTCACTAATTGCTAGCTTATTTACAACTTGTAGAAAAATCTCATAATTAGTCAAAGTGAATATGCTTCATAGTTCATAGATAATAAAACACAACGAATCTTGTACCTTAGGTTTTAATAACGTGCATGTGTAAGCAACACATTGATTGGAACGCAAGTAAATGTAATTATTGCAAAACTTTGACATCTGACTGTGATCTATAAATAAACTGGACGATTTGGAAGATTGTTTTCCAAAATTTAACAATTATGGCACCTAATTAAAATTAAGTGTACAATTTGCAACGCATTCACGTTTAACTGCCTTTCTATAATGTACTATTTCATATCAAACAAGCAAAATATAATTATGCCCACAAGTTTGAGAGAAACAGTAAACGTACATTCCAAGCATGAAATTTGAAAATCCTTATAGTCACAATTTTAGAATATAATTATATAGAATTTTAATACAATTAAATATATTTTTTTCTTCAATTTTTAACCTTTATCTTTTTAAAGTTGTTAAAAAAAACTTTATCCTTTTAATCCAACATTGTAATTACTTTTTATTTGAGTCTTCTAAAATAAAGAGTTATTTAGAAGAGAAAGAGAAAAATAATTATTAACTAAAAAAATTAACAACAATAACTATGATTAATTTTAAATTTGGTTATATATGAATTTGATTCTATTCAGATTCTTAATTGTTAATACCTAATGATAGATATGACCAAAACATCTATAAGAGATAGAAAAATATTCGTTCAATAAGAATAAGTCTTAGAAAAGTACTTGTACCTAGAAATTTTATAAAATGAGTGCAAGTATGAGTATTATAATACTCATTATTACAACTATTACTATTATTGATATGTCAGATTATTTGTGAGCTTGAATTGAATTAAGTTAGAGGTGTAAACAAAAAACTCATCAAATGTGAATTGATATTCAAGTCAAATCAATTAATTTTAAATTAAGATAATTAAATTAAGTTTAATTCATTTATAGTCTTAACCATTTTTATCATCATTATTATTATTGTTTCTTATCATTACCTCTCTCATTATTATTGTCATTTCTACTATTAGTTATTATTATTATTATTATTATTATTATTATTATTATTATTTATTATTATTATTATTATTATTATAGCTCCTTTATCCCATACTATTGCAACAATTGTCACCATTCAATTTCTTTTACACAATCTATAATTTTATATACGACTAATGTCCCCATAATTAATTAGAGATAGGAAAATAAAACTATGTTTTATCTTAAAATTATAATTACATATTTTAATTCTTTGAAAATTCCGAATTACAATTCAAAATCAATTTCAGTTTTATAATTATAGTTACTATTTTAAGATACAATTCTAATTTGTGACAATTAAAGTGATAAAGCAAGGCTTATACTATTTTCCATTATATAATATTTTTTTATTCTCTTACATATGTTATATATATATATATATATATATATATATTTAATTAGAAGGTGTAATTCCATAAGTTTATTATACCACTACAAGAAAATTGTCATATAGTGACACACACCCTATAGTGACACTATATATACATGTCACTAAAAGTTACTTTTACTTACACAATAATTACAATATATGTTGGTATATTATTAAAAAGTCTGGGTATATGTTAAAATGACACACAAAATATGTTGTTAAATCTCATTCAAAATTAACACTAAAATTATGTGTAATTATATATCAAATAGACATATACTTATATATATTATACCTATAGTGACACTTTTTGTATGTCACTATATATAACATTTCTTGTAGTGTACGAGTAAAATGACATTCTATAATTAAGTTAAGAATCAAACTTTAGTCTTTTATTAAAACCTAAGGGGGGTGTATTGGATTAGGATTTTAAAGGACTTTTTTAGTTAAAAAAAATCCTACGGATTTTAAAAGACTTTGCAGGATTTTCATGACTTTTAAGATTTTGCAGGATTCTACAAGACTTAAAATCAGGATTTTAATAGATTCTGCAAGACTTTTAAATCAGGATTTTAATAGATTCTGTGGGATTTTGTAGAATTTTCGTGGACTTTTGACATTTGAAAAGATATAAAAAAAAACATTCATACATTCAAATTTAAAAAGAATCAAATACAAAAATAATAAAAAATAATAATGTCTAGATAAATAACAATAATAATAATTCTCCATAATATTTTATCCTCTTAAATAGCATTCACTCACCTATCCATAGCTATACTAGTCCTCCAAGCATTAGCGTCTTTTCGCTCTTGCTATTGGGTTTGAATAATAAGTTCAAAAGTATGATCTTCATTAACTGGTATCGTTGAAGATGAAGGTGCATCCACCACTTCAATTAGAAATTCACCTTAAATACGCATGACGAAGATTGAACAATTCTTTCTCATTTTCAGGATCATTACCCTGACCTGCAAAATTTTGTAGATGATATCTTACACCTCGAAATGAAGCTAAAAATTGGCATCAATTAGAAAATCTACAATTCACCAAAAAAATATTTACCTAATTACATATGCAATATATATAATATTAGTATAATAATAATAATTATTATATATAATTATTATTATTATTTAAAGAATAAGCATTTAGATATATAGAATATATATATTATTTTAGTTATATATTATATGATAATTTTTAACAATATTTATAAATGTAAATTATTCTAACAAATATTTTAACAATATTTTCTCTTTTAAAAAATAAGTTAATGAAGACATAAATCTTAAACCCTAAAAAATTAGATACTGCAATGTCTTATGTTAATTTTCTTTTTTTAAAATATAAAAAGTCTTAATTTCATAATATAAAAAGAAAAAGAAAAATTCATAGTAAAAAAAATAAAATAATTGCTGAGTCGTAAAAGGAGGGGGATAAGAGTAACAAACTTAAGACAAGAAGAGAAATCGCAGTTTTTATGTTAAGAGGGTTTTTCCCCCAACTAAGATCTATTTTCATCTCATTCTACTCACAGAAACCCTAACAAATTCATCTTATATATTATATATTGTAGAGATTATGATATCAATTTCATCTTTCACCTTTTTCTTTTCTTAACGTGTGTTATAAAAAAAATTATCACTTAAAAGTTGAAATTTCAAGCAACTTTTTGTGTTATATAAAGGAACAAATTTAACTACATAGAATAAAATAAAGCAAGTCAATTAATGAGAACGAGCAGAAAAATAGAGCAAATCAATGACACTATCATTTACATATCGGAGTTTCACAAAATAGGGGAATGGGATGAGAACAATACTACAATATTATATATGAGCAATGAACAATAGTACAATATTATTAGCAAAGAAAAAATGGAGAAGACAAGAGCATAGAAAAAAAAAAGATGAAAAACTCACTTGAAAATTCTTGAAAAAGTCATTTCAAACAATCATTCAAAATTCGATGGGTTTGAATGGATTGTTTTATGAATTTGGTATTTATAGATAATACTATAAAGTCCTTCAAAATTTCCCTCACACAATAATCATTTAAAATCCTTATATTTTTGAATATTAATAGATTGTTTTTAAGTTGTAAAAAATCTCAAATGAATACCAATGAATTTTAATGGACTCTTTAAAAATTCTTGAAAATCCAGATTGAATACCACTAGATTATTTTTAAGTGACATAAAATCCTGATTGAATACCAATGAATTTTTTTACTCAAAA